TTTATAGAAAATTTTCGATAAATCTTCTTTTTATAGAAAATTTTCGATAAATCTTCTTTTTATAGAAAATTTTCGATAAATCTTCTTTTTATAGAAAATTTTCGATAAATCTTCTTTTTATAGAAAATTTTCGATAAATCTTCTTTTTATAGAAAATTTTCGATAAATCTTCTTTTTATAGAAAATTGTCGATAAATCTTCTTTTTATAGAAAATTTTTGATAAATCTTCTTTTTATAGAAAATTTTCGATAAATCTTCTTTTTATCGAAAGTTTTCAAAAAATCTTCTTTTTATAGAAAGTTTTCGATAAATTTTCTTTTTATAGAAAGTATTCGATAAATTTTCTTTTTGTAGAAAGTTTTCGATAAATTTTCTTTTTATAGAAAGTCTTCGATAAATTTTCTTTTTATAGAAAGTCTTCGATAAATTTTCTTTTTATAAAAAATTTTCGATAAATTTTCTTTTATAAAAAATTTTCGATCAATTTTCTTTTATAAAAAATTTTCGATACATCTTCTTTTTAAAGAAAATTTCGATAAACCTTTCTTTTATAGAATTTATTTTTAAAATTCTTTTTATAAAGATTTTCAAAAAATCTTCTTTTTATAGAAAATTTTCGATAAATCTTCTTTTTAAAGAAAATTTTTGACAATCTTCTTTTATAGAAAAATTTCGATAAATCTTCCTTTTATAGAAAATTTTTATTTTAAGAAAATTTTCGAAAAATCTTCTTTTTGTAGAAAAATATTAATAAAGCTTCTATTTATAGAAAATTTTCGATAAATCTTTATTTATAGAAAATTTTCGATAAATCTTCTTTTTATAGAAAGTTTTCGACAAATCTTCTTTTTATAGAAAGTTTTCGATAAATCTTCCTTTTATAGAAAATTTTCTATAAATCTTCCTTTTATAGAAAATTTTCGATAAATCTTCCTTCTATAGAAAGTTTTCGACAAATCTTCCTTTTATAGAAAGTTTTTGATAAATCTTCCTTTTATAGAAAATTTTCTATAAATCCTCCTTTTAAAGAAAATTTTTAAATAAATTTTATTTTTATTTTTTTTTTGCTAAAAATCATATTTTTATAGAAAATTTTTAATAAATCTGTTCTTTATAGAAAATTTTCCATAAATATTCTTTATATAGAAATGTTTCAATAAATACTCTTTTTATAGAAATTTTTAATAAATCTTCTTTTTATAGAAATTTTTAATGAATCCTATTTTTATTGAAAATTTTCAATAAATCTTTCGATAAGTTTTCTTTTATAGAAAATTTTAGATATATTTTCGACTAGCTTTTACGTTTTATTTTGTATAAAATTCTTTAACATTTCCCATTGAATTTCTCTATAAATTTACATTGTCAAAGTCGTTTCAAATTTACTTTATTACCAAACTATTTACACTACAGCAACAACAGTTGTGCAAATATGTTTAGAAAAATAGTCAATAAAACTTAATAATAAAAATACTACTTTTAACAAATTAACTTCCTCCATAATATTATTAATGCTAATTTAATTAGTCTATAATAATACTTGGAAGACATTAGTCTTTTTAACACACAATTTAAAAAAAATGTCTAAAAATTTTTTAAAAGTTAACTATGACCAAGAAAACAAAATATGGAAATCTGCAAATTATCGTTACAAGAAACAAACCAATCGTACAGTGGGTGAAGCTTTTCTACAATCCATGAGATCTTTAGAACGCGACAAAGTTCTGGAATATCATTACGATGTGGAGAAGGAAAAATGTGTTAAGGATCTTTATCAGGAGTCCATAATAGTGGCTAAAAATTTACAACGTTTGGGTATGCAAAAGGGAGATGTTGTAATGTTATTTTCGGGTTACAATTATTGGACTTCTTCTTTAACATTTGGCACTTTATTAGTGGGAGGAGTGGTTAATTATTTTGAAGTTAAGTTGGATAATGGTAAGCTGTAAGAATTTGTTTAAAAATTTCCAGAAATAATAAAAATTATTTTCTATATTCTACAGAAAATATTGACAAAATGTTTGATATAATACAACCCTTTATGATTCTCTATGAATATGAGTTTCTTGAGAAAATTTTAAAATCTTTAAAACGTCAAAAACCTAAAACTTTGAAATATCTATTAGCTATTGATAGATCTAACACACCCAATATTTCAAGTGAACTTTTAAAGTCTAGTGGCTCTATAGACTTTGATCAATTCCAAACGCTTGAATTGAATTGCCAATTGGAAGTGGCATTTTTAGTTTTGACTTCGGGGTCAACTGGTTTACCTAAAGTTACACAACTCTCTCACTGCTTACTGCTAAATGGGGTTTATGTTTGGTGGGCAAATGATTACAATTATGAACCTATTAACAGCAACTCTTTGCTATTTTCCTTAAGTCCCTTACGCTGGATAAGTCAAGTGGTTTTACTACTACAATCTGCTCTTCTGGGCATAAAACGTATTAGTGCCAATAAAGCTGCCACTGGGGCCTATGGTTTAGAGATTTTACGTAAAACTAAACCAACACATATCTTTGCAGTACCCTCCTTCTTTTATGAGTTATTACTGCAACTTAAAGAAGACGATAAAAAAAGTTTGGATTCTCTAAAATACATACAATTGGGTGGAGAACCTCCCTCGAAGGTTATAATAAATCTAACAAAAACTCGAGCTGTATATAGTAAATTATTTTATAGTTATGGCATGTCAGAAGTATCCTGTTCCATTACCAATAATGAGCACATAAGTGGTGGCAAATTGCAACCTGGTTTTGAAATGCAAGTTTTAGATGAGCAACTAAAACCTTTGGCTCATAATGAAAATGGTCGTTTAGCTATTAGAACACCATATCCTTTTGTGGGCTATAAAGGAGAAAATAATAGTAAATATTTTCTTGACAACGGTTTCTTTTTAAATGGCGATTATGGTTATTTTGATGAGAATAATACGCTGCACTTTTTGGCTCGTTTAAAGGATTTAATAAAATATCAAAATGTTTTAGTAAGTCTTTTTATGTTAAAAAGTTAAAATTTATTAAAATTCCTTTCCTTTTTAGTTGATACCAAATTTAGTAGAAACTTTGGTTTTACAACTACCCGAAATTTCCGGTGTGTGTTTGGTGGGCTATTGTCGTTCCGTGGAGGATCCTAATGAAGTAGCTGCTTTGTTTGTTGTTTTAAAAGAGGGAGTTTCTTCTAGTTTTGAAGAGATTTCTTTGAAAATACGTAATATTTTGTCAAACAACTTATCAGACGATCAAGTTTTATTGTTACATGATATTTATGTTAGAGAGAGTTTTCCTTTGACAACCTGTGGCAAAATTGATCGTATTGCTTTAAGAAAGTTGGCTTTAAAAGGGTCGCAATTAAATTAAATGGATTTTGTTTACGTTGAGCAATATTTGCTCAAATTGTAAAATTATAAACTGTTAAATAAATATTGATCAGAAAAAATTTAGTGTAAAGAGTGTTTTTGCAAAAGATCACAGGTAATGTAAACTAATGGAGTACGTGCATCTAAAGGCAATAGATATGGCTTTGGGCTTTATAACAGTTGATCATTTGGTGTAATATCGTCTGTCAGTCGATTTTTAAATACTCCTATTCCAGTACTTCCTTGAGTAGGGCTAATTTCTTAATGTTGGCATTAGCATAACATTAATAATGTTACAGTATCGCCGATATATGGCTTCAACAGAAGAAGCAACATGCTCCCAAATTCCAAATTCATAAATATCCTAGATTATTCCTTATCGGAATATGTTAAAGTTTGCTTCTATAAAGCGTTCCAATAGAATCGATTACAACTAAGAACCTCTGCCCCATATCATTGTTCAATAATAATTGCCGAACGGTACTATTTCCTTGAATTATTAAGCTAGGTTATGAGGGTTGCTCGCTGGTAAGTGAGTTCACTCGGAGGCCTTGGGGCCCATTGTGATACCCTTAGAATTGCTATTCCCTAATATTGAGATAATGGTTTCCCTCCCTAATTTCGTTGACTACTTGGTTCGTTCGGTCTACGTGAATACCAGCCGGTGCTTCTAATAAAACCGATCATGTTTACTAGTGACGCATCTCTGAGACAGTCCAGATCATGGAAAAGAGCTCTACCAAGTTAGAGTAGTCTGTGCTCTTGTAAGGCTGAGCAGTCACACAGAAGGTGTTGTACCGATTCCACTTCTTCTTCGTCCAAGCAGCTTCTACAGTAGCTATAACGTGGGTAGCCCATATGTTCCAACACATGACCAATCATACACTGCCCAGTATTTATACCAGTTAGACGCCTAATCGAGTTCTTACTAAGAGACAAGAGATTCCTAGTCCTATCTGTTGTCAGAGTGGGCCAGAGCAGTCTCGATTTTCTACAAGTGGTGATATCTGATCACCTGAGTTCCGTCTCACTCAAAGCTCATTCATCTATCAATTTTGATAGGGTCATCAGGTCAGTGTGAATATCCTTTTGCGCAAGGGTTAAGTCTAGGGAAGACCCTTTGGTTGCGCATTCATCAGATATTTCATTTGCCCGGATGGCCTCATATCCTGGAACCCATATCAACTGTTGTGTCAGTTGTACCAATGATTGAATGCAATTGAGAAGACATTTCGACTTAATCACATTGGAGTTAAGAGCCTTGATTGATGCAAGGCTGTCCAAGTATATATGTACAGTCGAATTTTCGAGATTTAGTTCCCGTATAAAAAAGCAACTTCTTTTTATTTTAAAATTTCTAGTGGGCGTGGCACCTTCCATATGAGATATATTTACAAAATCGAATAATTAGGATAACCAAAATTTCGTACAAGCATTTTTTCAATTTGTATAAATATTTCAAACTTTGTTTACGTAATTTTTATATTTAAATGGCTGTGGCACCTTCCACCCAAAGAAAATATGAATTGTAATATTAGGGATGCTGACCCATGAATTAAAAACAAAAATTAACAACAATTTAGTAATGTCTTGGACTCACACAACAACTTATTTTTTTAATGACTACTACATGCCGTTTGTATTACATTTAAGTACTTATTTGTAAGCTAGTGTGGTAAGTACTTACCTCCAATGACATCTTAAGTAGTGAATAGCTTGTTTACTCATTACTTTGCAATGTAAGTATTTGCTATATAGATAAATAAATATGTATGTGTGTCATTGGACATACAATAAGGTCCAAGTGATAGAATTTAAAGTGTGGAATACTTCACAAATATTGTCTATTATTAAATTAAGGTTTGGTTTTTAAGGAAAAATTATTTATTTAAACAAAAATGCTCAATATTAAAAAAAACTTTAGAAATGTGATTATATCCAAAATTTTGTAAAGCTGGTGATAAATGATAATAATTGCAGTGATATAGCGCCCATTTGGTACCATTAATTCAAATACTTTAATACTTTTGGGTTGAAAGTCGAATAACATGAAAACCCTATTTTAAACATTCTCAATATCCTTCCCTCCTTTAAACAATTCATTAAACTTGCACATGTGAATTAATACCTTATTTTCAACTACAAATTCCCCTACGTTACGTATGTTTATACATATATTTCTCTTAATACCCAATAAACCGCTAATTACTCCATATCTAATGATTTTGCCAATTGAATTAAAGCTGGTTTATCCACTTTTCCACATGACGTCAGTGGAAGTTTTTCAATAATGTTAACGAGGCGTATTATACACGATTCATTGCATTTCAAATGTTTTTCTAGTAATTTTTTAACTTCAACTTTTAGCACTTCATTTTCTATTTCCTGGTTTTGTCCCGCCATCAACATTTCGTTTTCATTTGCTTGCGTATTTTGCAATTGTTTAACAATATACAAAGCTCCTTTATCCTCAACATCCGTATTGGAAGTACGATAACCCACTAATGTTGAGGCAAAAATACTAGAGAGAGTACAAACTAATTTCTCTACTTCACTGGGTATTAACTAGAATTAGTTGAAAGAAAGAAAAAAAGTAAAATTAAATAGAAAATGAAATCAGTGTTAACATAAGAGTGTGTATATTAAACTTACTATAACCTCTTTGGTTCGAACCAAATCCTTATATCTAGCCAAGACATGTAAAGCTTTATTATCATCCATATAACCATAATCGCCAGTATTAAGAAAACCATCACTGTAGTAAATTTTACTATTATCGATTTTATGATAACCTAAGAAGGGCATGGGAAAGCGAAAACACAATTGACCTTTTTCATTAGGACCCACGGGTTTTAAATTATCATCTAATAATTTAATTTCTACACCCGGCACTATATAGCCCCCATTGATATGTTGATCACAACATGCTAATCCGGCCAATTCAGTCATACCATAACAACGCATTATGGTGGCTTGAGGGGCAAGATTTCGCGACATATCTATTACAGTTTGACCAGGATCTTCTCCCCCTAAATAGATAAATTTAACCGAACTCAAAGCATCTAGATCATAGGGTTCAATAGAGAGTATTATCTCTTTAAATACTGAGGGAGGGCTGAAAAAGTGGGTTACTTTACCCTTTCTCACCACCTCACGACCATATTCTCCGGCCGGAAAACCACTAGCATAAACTCTCTTTATACCTAACAGTAGGGATTGTAGCATCAAATCCACTTGACTTATCCAGCGTATAGGACTTAAAGAAAATATTGTTGAATCCGGGCTTAATATAGATTTACCATCAGGTTGAGTCCAAAAGGAGATTACACCATGCAACATTTGAGCATGACTTAGAGCTACCGCTTTAGGCAAACCTGTAGAGCCTGAAGTGAACAATAAAACGGCAGTTTGCATTAAAGGATCTCCCAAATTTGGCAGGCGAAAGTTGTCTTGGGTAAAGGAGGAAATGCTTTTGAATAAAACATTATCTACATTCACACCAGATTTGCCATCAATGGAGATTTGATACTTGAGACAAGGCAGCTTAATATCTTTCATTACATCCAAAATGGCAGATTTAAATTTCTCTTCATATAGTAAAACACAAGGATTTAATAAATTTAAAGTATACTTAGCAGCATCTGTATGAAACGAATACAAATCATATAACTATTTGAACTGTTACTTCAACAACTTACCTCTTGAAAAAGTGGTCTCAAAAAAATTAACTACTGCGCCCAACATTAAAGCACCCATGGCCAAACTGCTTACTTTACTATTAACCATGGAATAGAATACCACTACATCACCTTTCTTAATACCCAATCTTTGTAAATTGATGGCAACTGTCACAGACTCACGATAAATTTCATTCATAGTCTTACTGACTCCGGTATCATAATGCCATTCTAATACCTTATCACCGGGTACTTTCTTAACATTTTCCAAGAAAATCTCTCCAATAAAATGTTTAATATATTCTCCATGAGTATAATCTAAAGATTTCCAGATTTTAGTTTCCGGATTAAATTCGATTTTCATGTTAGATTTATGCGTTTAAATTGTACTTGAACTTGAAATGTTTGAAGTGAAATACAATCATTTTGCAAGTTACCTTGATTGTTATAGGTTTTATTAAACAAATATTCTTATAAAAATTATAGTAAATATAATGTTGCAATTTTGTAATTGTTAATAATTTCGTTAATAGTGTAACTAACATGCAACACGCATTAGAGAATATACATGTTGATGAATGCCTTTTTAAAAGTTGACAATAAAATTAAGAAAATTTATTTACGATTTACATACATAATGACGAATTACTGCAATAATGATATAACTAAATAGTGAGGTTGTTTACTATAAAGCTTTCCAGTTAGTTTTACAACTATTTAAATATTTCTATTATTTTTGGCTTGAGTTCTCTATTTGCTAGTCTAGCAAACAGGGGTTTGCAGGTTCGATTCCCTTCAAAGACACTAATCAGTTTTAGTACAAAGTAATAAGTACAATTTCATAATAAAATTAAAAAAATATATATATTTTTTGTAAAATATATTTAACAAAAGCAGTTTTACTAATAATTATAATTTTTGTGAGTTATGTCACTATTGCATTAAACGCGTGCAATGGCCTTAATATAATAAATTGCATGTATGCAACTTTTTTCTCCCATATCTAATTATTTTTTTTTTTTATTGAACTATTAGTATTATTGAGAATATTTTATTTGTTGTTACAAATAATTTAAAATAAATTTGTTTAACAGTTAACTGACTTAAGTGGTTGTAATTTATACGTATTAAAATTTATCGTTTTAAGGTCAGTTGGTAGAAAATTACACTATAAATATATATGGATATATCAAAGTCTTCGAAATGTCATTCATTTCATATACACATTGCAAAAGGAATAGAACCGATATATGTAGATATATCCAATTTAAACCCAGCAAAAACCTACATTGAAAAGTTGTGGCTTCCGGTAGGTTAGTGGTTAGTGTTCTAGTCTGGTAGACCGGAGGTCGTGGGTTTGATTCCCAACTGAGGCACTGGATAAGGAGCTCACAACAGGGCCGATAGAGGCCTAGGTGTATTTCTTCGGATTTGATGTTTATATGTACATCCTCATTTCAAACTAACTAACTAACTACATTGAAAAGTTAGGGATTAAAATGCTAAAATTTACTTTTACAGTGCATTTTAAGTCATTATATTCTTGCTTTCAAATAATTACATAAATAAATCATTATAAATAGGGAGTTAAAAAGTTGTATGGTTTAACGCCCAAAAAAATTCCGAAATAGAATAAGAACCTGGGTCTAACCTCTTCATTAGTCCACTGTCGTACTCCCAACACCACTATAGTTGTTTTATTGAGCATAATACATACATATAATGGTTTTCACACAGAAATGTAAGTACAGGTCATTACCAATCATTCTATTTTATCTTAAAGTTGAAAAATTGAGAGAAAAAACGAAAGAAAGAGATTTTATGAAAAAAATATGTCAAATCAACTAACTGACTACTGTAAGGCTTCTCACAGAAATTAAAATACTGTTTCTTTATGACGAATTATTCTCACGCCATTGACTGGATGATAATTCATATAATATTCCTATTAAGCTAAATTTTAGTTCCGTTTTCCTATAATTTTAATAACCAGCTAAATATACACTTTTATGCAATTTAGGAAATATGTATTTTTTTTTTGCCTATTATCGCCAATAATTTGTATGGCAGATTTAAGCAGCTTAACACATTTAATAAATTTTAGCAATAAATAGCAACAATTTTATGAGAACTAATATGAAATACAATACAAGATTTTTACAACCAATATCGTAAAATTTTATTAGTTTGGTGTTAATGTTTCAAACATAAAATATTTATACACAATAAGAGAATTTTGCTGAAATACACTGAAAGAATTTAAAATTACATATTTAACTGTGTGATTGATTTAATTAAATATTGCATTTGTGTGGAAATCAATATTGCAGGTAGAAATAAACAAAATTTTCGATAATTTTATAAAAAAATATTTTGATAAATTTTTTCTTTTTATAGAAAATTTTCGATTCATTTGCTTTTTATATAAACTTTTCGATAAATTTCCTTTTTATTGAACTTATCGATAAACTTTCTTTTGATAACAACTTTTCGATAAATTTTCTTTTTATAGTAACTTGTCGATAAATTTTCTTTTTACAAAAACTTTTTGATAAATGTTTTCCTCATACAGAAACTTTTTGATAAATTATCTCTCTTTGTAGAATGATTAGTATAAATTTTCATTTCACAGAAAATTTTAATTTCATAGAAAATTTTCGATAAATTTTCTTTTTGTATAGAATTTTCGATAAATTTTAATCTTATAGAAATTCTTCGATAAATTTTCATATTATATAAAGTTTTATAGAAAATTTTCGATTAAATTACAAAATTTTCGATTAATTTTTAATTTATAGAAAATTTTCGATAAATTTTAATTTTATAGAAAATTTTGGATTAATTTTCATTTTATAGAAAATTTTCAATAAATTTTCTTTTTGTATAGAATTTTCGATAAATTTTCCTTTTATAGAAAATGTTCGATAAATTTTCATATTATAGAAAATTTTCTATAAATTCATTTTATAGAAAATTTTCGATAAATTTTAATTTTATAGAAAATTTTGGATTAATTTTCATTTTATAGAAAATTTTCGATAAATTTATAGAAAATATAAAACTTTCGATAAATTCTCTTTTTATAGAAAACTTTCGATAAATTCTCTTTTTATAGAAAACTTTCGACAAATTCTCTTTTTATAGAAAACTTTTGACAAATTCTCTTTTTATAGAAAATTTTTGATAAATTCCCTTTTTATAGAAAATTTTCGATAAATTCTCTTTTTATAGAAAATTTTCGATAAATTTTTTAAATTCTCTTCTTCGATAACTTTTCTTTTTATAGAAAATTTTCGATAAATTGTCTTTCTATAGAAAAATTTTGATAAATTCGCTTTCTATAGAAAATTTTCGATAAATTCTATTTCTATAGAAAATTTTCGACATATGTTTTCTTTTTATAGAAAATTTTCGATAAATTCTTTCTTTTTATAGAAAGTTTATTAAAAATTTTCATTAAAAAAAGTATTGAAAATGTTCTATAAAAGATTTTTTATAAATAGAGAAAATTTATCGAAAACTTTCTACAAAAAGAGAAAATTTGTGAAAAACGTCGATAGCCTTTTCTATTGATAGAAATTTTTCCATAACAATTTTTTAAAAAGTTTTCAATAATTTCTAATAAATAGTTTTTTTTTAATAATTTTTCAATAAATTCTATTATTATAGAAAATTTTCGAGAAATTATTTTTATTAAAAATATTCCGACAACATATTTTTCCCAGTGTACTTTACCAATTTACTGCAGTAAGTAAGTTAATAAAAAGTTTCTTAGTTTTTTTTTTGATTTTTTCCCTGGTTTTGCAAAACATTTGCGAAAAACTTTTAATAGCAGGAAAACAACAACAAAAAACTTTGATTGCATGTTCTATTGGTATTGTAAATGTGTAAGAAAACTAAAGTCATATAATTTGTGGCCAAAAATACGACAACAACATTTCAATGTCCACTAATTGCATCACATAGGACAACGAATGATATATGATGGCCAAACATTAACTTGAACTTTCACAAGTATGACTAATTATAAGTTTTTTTTTAAAGGGGGCAATTTTATAGATGGCAGTAAATACCATCAATAAAAGTTGAGGCTAAACAAGTAGACACTGGCTCATTGAAAGAAAGGATTTACTTATTGAATTATTTATCTGTTTGTTTCATTTTCAGTTGTTTTGGATAAAATAAGTTTATTTTCTTCTATAAAACGGGCTTAAGCTGTAGTATTAAAAGCTTTTGTACAAACAAAACTCTTTTTGATTTTAAAACAATTAAGGTCATTGAAAAACAATAGAAATTTTTGCAACTTTGTTTTAAAGTGATTTCAAAAGCAACGTCAACTACATTCTAATGTTTTTAATATAAAAAAATATTTAAACCATATAGAAAATATTTCTTTTGTACTCGTTCTAATACTTGCATACACACACATAATCTAATTGCATTTCTTTTATTTAGTAACACATATACTACTTTTCATTGAATTGTGTTTTTGTTTTAGGTTTTTCTTTCTTTCATTTTTGATAAAAATTTCTTTATACTCGTAGTTTATAAATTAAAATGTAATAAACAGACGTGTCTGTTTATGCACCACAAAATTCGCTTGTCTTTTGATCACGTTTGAATGAAGAATAAAACTAAAACTAATGCATGGAGGAAATACCCGGCAGATAGGAGGGGGTGGCCGTTATTCCCTTGTTTAAAATAAGAAACAATATTGTTTTATTTCGGAATTGACCTATAGACTTCATTATGGATTAGTATATGGACTAGTCTATGACCTAGTGTATGGACTATTCTATTGACTAGTGTATGGACTAGTCAATGTACTAGTCAATGGACTAGTCTATGCACTGGTCTATGGACTAATATATGGACTAATCTATGGTCTAATATATGGACTAGTATATGGACTTGTCTTTCAACTAGTCTATGGAATAATATATGTACTAGTCTTTGGATTAGTCTATGAACTAGTCTACTGGCTAGTCTATGGACAAGTCTACTGACTAGTCTCAGGACTAGTCTACTGACTAGTCTATGGACTAGTCTATTGACTAATCTACTGACTAGTCTATGGACTAGTCTATTGACTAGTCTACTGACTAGTCTATGGAAAAGTCTATGGACTAGTCTATGGACTAATGTATGGTCTAGTATATGGACTAGTCTTTGAACTAGTCTATGGACTAATCTTTGGACTAGTCTATGAACTAGTCTATGCACTAGACTATGGACTAGTCTACTGAATAGTCTATGAACTAATCTACTGACTAGTCTGGACTAGTCTACTGACTAGTCTTTGGACTAGTCATCTGACTAGGCTCTGGACTAGTCATCTGACTAGTCTCTGAACTAGTCTATGAATAAGTATATTGAATCAGTGAAATAGTCTGAGGACAAATCTATTGACTAGTCAGCAGAGAAGTCTGTAATTTATGTAATTTGTTGA